GATTTTTGCCTGGATCGACAGGAAATCCGCTCAAGTTAAGGGGATTGGTTCTCGATTTAAGCAAAAATCCGATTGAATCAAGAGTATTTTTTCCTGTCATTCAGTGGCGTGGCGTGAATTGCGATGCATCGATTGGTCTGCCATTAAAACCTATGGTAAAGGATCGATTATTTGGGTGTTCGCTGCGAACACCCTGTTTATCGATCCTTTTCCATAGGTTTAAACGGCATAACAATCGATTTATCGCAAAGCACGCCACGCCACTGCTGTCATTGTTTTAAAGAGTCTGGACTCTGGATCCAAGCTACTTTTTTTCCAGTGTGTCCATTGGTTTAGTCTACTCCGTGAAAATGTCGAGGCAGAAAACGCCTCCGGTGCTGGAGAAAGAAGAAACACCTCGAAGACCGAACGCTCCAGGTGAAAGAAGATAAAAACGGAAGCTGGAGACGAGACGGAAGAGTCCTTGTCGAGGGTCAGGACCGTCCGGGGAGGGACGGGTCACGGGCCCTGGGCGAGAGGGAGACAAACAACGCTAAAATACAATTCGTAAAATTATCACGATTATCCAGATTGATATGAATAGGCCCAAGTCTTGACGAGGGTGCCTCCGCGCCTGGGCCGGGGACGGGGGACGAGGCGGGGTTGGGGGAAGGACCCCCGCGGGTGGGGGTCGGGGGGGCGCGGGACCCCAGGGATGCGCGCAGCCGCGGTGGTTCGGCCCCGTTCCCGACGTGGCCCCGACGACATCAGTGTGCTAGCCGTTCGCCTCCCACGTAGTTGTGTGCTCGGTGCCCGCTCTCTCTCGCTGTAATCGTTGTCGTTTCCATGTTAGCTGTACATTCTCATCAACTCGTGTTACTCCTCACCCCTCCTTGTTCTCTGTCTCCTTTGTATGCCAGCAGTCCTCTGTTTCGGTGTTTAGTTGCTCCTGTTTTGAGCCCGACTCATTTCCCTATGTTTTCTTAGTTTCTTCGTATTTGGTATTGTATATAAGTGTTCACTTCCATTTACTCCATTCTCATCTGCGCTCCCGTCCTCCAGAAGAGAGCAGTAACCACCACGTTTTCAGGACAGCAGTAAGTCCACGAGGACAGCAGTTTCACGGAGAAAAAAGTATCACGATCCTGACTATAGTCCTGGATGATTTTGGCGCCAGATGTAAGAGTAGTTAGATTTTAACAGAATCGGGGGGAAATTTGCACCAGGCAGCAAGAGCTGAACTGTTGAAATGTTTGGAATAAAATCCCGAGTTTATTTTTAATAGCGTAAATAGCTGTTACACAACCGAAAAGAAATGAATCGGTGCAAAAGCTGCCCTTTTTGGAGGATACATTACTCTTTTCTATGTTTCTCAGTGTTGCAAAGCTAATTTCGGTCCGCCCTCATATCACTTGTAGACTTTTTCCGTCCTGGAATTCTGTCGGATAATTCTGTTTCTATCAGGAACACTGAAAAAAAAAAAAAACTATTATAATCCCACCCATAATCCTGGTTGATTTTGGCGCCAGATGTGAGAGGAGTTGCACTAGTCAGAGGTACGGTTGAGTCTACCTCTGACTAGTGCAGCTACTCTTATATCTGGCACCAAAATCTGCCAGGAGTATAGTTTGGATTGTCATAATTTTTTTCAGTTTTCCTGATAGAAATATCCGATGGACATCCGGAACAGAAAAAGCAGTCCAACAACCTAAGTGATATGAGGACGGACTGAAATTCCGTTTGCAAGACTGAGAAACATAGAAAAGAGTAATGTGTCCCCCCAAAAAGGGCAGATTTTGCACCGATTCATTTCACTTCGGTTGTGTAACAGCTATTTACGCTCGGAAGAGAAATAAACTCGGGATTTTATTCCAATCATTTCAACAGTTTAGCCCCTGCTGCCTTGTGCAAATTTCCTCCCAATTCTGCTAACTTCTAACCTCGAAATTCGTTTGTTCTCTATGAAAAACGTAATTTTGCAAGCATGTGACAGATATCACGTTTGCCTATTTTGCCGAACATGGAATTAATGAGTCTGTCTTTTATAGTTGATATTAAAATACGTCGATTCATAATCATTCGGATTCTTCAAGAATCTTTTTGATGAGATTCGACAATTTTATGGAAATATTGTAAACATTTTCCGCATGCTCACAAATTCGATTTCCATTATATTGAAACTTTATTTACGAAATTACTGCTCTCTTCGGCATGACGGTAGCGCTGTCGACTCAACGTAGATGCTGCAATTCGCGAAGACTGAGTAAAACTCACAGATGAGCCCTTCCGTTTCGTGAACCCTCGATGGTTCAACTCAGAAACCATCCACGGACGATGTTCAGCGAAAAAAGATCGAGTTATATAGACTTGAAATGGGAGAAAATAGGTTTTTTTTTTTTTTATCTAGAAGGCTTCGTGAAAAGACAAAAGTGAAGTCAAATGTTCGCTCACCTAGGATCTTAAATTTTCAGCGGGGAAATAATGTGCTTCCTAACAAGCTCAGAACTGTCACTTGGTCTCTTTTCTGTTGAACGCTTCCCGTATCTTGGTTTGCCGAGTAGGAGGGATAAATGGGCTATTTAATGACCTTATACAGTTGCTTTATAGCTATGGAACCTCCATTTAATTATAATCTTCCTCTTTCTCCGAAGGCCTGCCGTCAAAGACAATTTTTGACGGTCAAATAATTGAGTTTTAGGACCCCGTGTCTCTATGTTAACTATCCTAAGCTGAATTTCAATTGATCATTGTACAAGGCGGTTATTTTTTATATTTTTCACGCCCTATTTTTAAACCAAAAGCTCCAAAGAGAGGTCCAAAAGTGACGAGACCGATGCCGCCATTTTTTTAAGGTTTTGTTGTATAAGGTTTCTCTTTGCGAGAGGTTAACTAGGAATCACTTGGAGTCGTTTTACTAAGTTTCAGTCCTCTAAGACCTTACCTATGAGTGAACATTCACTCTCAAAGCTGTTAAAAAGTCATCAGGTTTTAAGTGTTCCTTTCAGAGTGCTTCAAAAAGTAACCTTTTTTTCATAAAAACTTTTAAATGCTGAAAGGTAGAGCTCTGATTTTGGTTATATTGGAAACTGCACTCAATAGTACATGTATGTACTCAAATTTGTGAGCTCACCCCGAGCGATGTTTCCTAGGTTCAAAAAATGGGCAAACATAACTAATTCCTTGTAATTTCCTTTTGGAAAGCGAATTCCACGGAAAAAGGGACAAATCACGCAGTTAACCTTAAGTTATGAACGAATAGTGAGGTATTTCCTCTCCCAATCTTGAAGCAAAAATTTTTATTCTAGATCATCTGTGAGGTTTGCTCAGTCTGTGCACGAGGTAGGGCAGCTTTTAAGTGTGGACTGTCAATTGAGCGTATTTATGCCGAAATGAACTATATGCATAAGATTTTTGTGCAACATGGTTCCTTTTATCATAGATACGTCCATTTATTCAGTCAGTTCGGTGTATCACGGCGTTTGTATCAACCATCTCAAACGCCAAAGACTTCCATCAATCCAGATTGGTTAAAGTTGCTCATATTGATAGGGAATTTATTACTTGTAAATAATGACCGTCTGTTTTAAATGAAACATTAAGCTTTCATTATTTTTTCTTTCATATTTATTTATTTAAATATCTCTCTATTTTCAAGTGGATCCCGCTCGTCAATCAGTTTGACGATGAAATATTCGTGGTTTTCGCGCGCTTTCAAAGGTCTGAGTTCAGATGCACGACGGAAAACTTTTGGTCTAGATTGATTTTTTGAACGTTTTTCTTCCTCCTCCGTTTATAGTCCTTTAACTTTTTCCCCCCTTTCTTTCAATATGTTTCTTTTTTCCTTTATCCAATGGATCATATTCATCGATGAATTTTATGATGAAGTATCCATGATTTTGCACGCTATTGAAGGTTTGACCTCAGATGTACGGCGGAAAACTTTTGATCGAGGTTAATTCTCTGAACGATTTTTTCTCTTCGCTTTTTTATTTATGTCCCTTTCTTTTAATTTTCTTTTTTTTTTCTTAATTTTTTCTTTCTTTTCCTCTTGATTTTTTTCTTTGAATTAGTTTTTTTTTCTTTTCATTCCTCGCAATTTTTTTTATTTACTTCTTTTCTTCCAATTATTTTAATTTTTCTTTTTCAAGCCAAAGGAAAAGCAAAAGTTAAATATGACGAAGCGCTGCTAATAAACTGTCATAACCCGCGGAAACTCACGCCATTTGCAGTAGCGTATTTTACTTGTACTTATTCTAAATGAGACGCAAGTTTGAATTTTGGAGTTTTAATTGGAGACGCTGGCCCTATCTTCATTCTTCATCCATGTTCCATTCTTTCACCGCACACTCACACGCGGCTAAGGAGATGTATGTATTCGAACGCATGAAGGGGAGGAAAATCTAATATTTATTTCTTAAAAAGCGATCATTTTTTTTTACTAGGGTGGTTCTCTCTTAACGTTGAAGAAAATGGTCGACGAATATTTTAGTTCATGATCCTTTTGAGAAGAGTGAAAGAACTTTTTTTTGGATAAAGCTTACTTTGATTCAACTTCACTAACGCAGGCTTGAGTTCCACAGCTAACCCAGTAAATGAATTTTTGAAAGGATAGGGGATTTTTCTTATAGTTTCAGCGAGTAGATTACACAAAAAAGAATAATTGTCGTACTAGCCGAACATTTGCTGTCGTATATTGATCAAGGTGTCCGGTTTTTCACAAAGAACTAGTCGATTTTTCATCCCGAAATTTTGGTTTGTCAAACCAAGAATCGGTTTGCCCAACAGATCTTTCGGTTTGTAGCGGGCTGAGAGAAGAAGATCGATGAAACAAAGAATAGGTTTATTTTGACAAACAGAAATATTCATCCCTTATTGAACCCTAAATTTTCGATCCCTTATTGAACCCTAAATTTTCGGTTCATTTTTTATGACCAGTTTTTTTAGTACTGAAAGATTTTATGTTTGCATCCTCGCAACGCTGGAAAAATAGAGTAGAATCTTACTTTCTCTGTCAATTCGTCTGTCTTACACCTTATGTATCGGAATCTAACTCTCATTCCTCTGAAAATAGTGTCTGTCTCTAAAGTGGGGGAGGGGGGTTATGAAAGTTATGTTTTCTTATCTATTAGTGTGAAAAAAATGGAAATGAATTGAGTTTGCACTGAAAATCACTTTCATTTCACATTTAGACAGAAGCAACCACCGTAAGCGGGGGAAAGTTTCAACTCCAATGTGTATTTAATGTAATACCTTTTTAAAGGAAAGTGTGCCTTTACACATAGTACCTTCACAAACATTTAGCTAAAAATATGTTTACATACTTCAATACTATACCATAAAAAATTTATCTCTCAATTTACTAGAATTGTAAATTTCTGTTTCGCTAACAATCAATATTGTGAATATAATCAATATTGTGACTACTTCACTTTAAATACCAGTACGCTCCTAATTATTATGGTTGTCAAATTCAATTATGGCAAGAAAAAACTGGGAAATAAGTGAATAATGAATACAAATCTAATATTCTCAAACGGTTACTAATTTTGAGCAGTCACTTTAAAAAGGAAACAGATTCATCTCTTATTTCCTAAAAACTAAGAAAACTTTTTTCCCGCTTGCGTGCTTCCATCACAATTTCAGGTACTTTTACGACTCTTTAATCATTTCCATTTAAATAAGTGTTGCCATGTTGCATGTACATAGTTACCAACAATTCTATGTCTGAAAGCACTAAATATTTCGGCGGATTAGGTACATTTTTTTTTCTTACTTCAGGCCCATATTTTCTGATGTTTTTCACTTGATAGAGCGATGCAAATTTCCTATTGCCTTTTCTAGGCTGTCTTGAAAACTGAATTTAAAGTTGCAGAAATCACTTCGCGGACTATTTCTATTCAGCAAAAGTGTAGTAATAATATTACTAAATCTAGAGGATAGAGTTGCCTTAGCACAGTGATCCCTTCACATGTCTAATAGAAGCTAAGCTACGTTTTCCCTCATGAAATTCATTTATGCCCAGTATTTGTAACGCCTTTCGTTGCGCCTAATTGCGTAGGCTTTCAATTTCCTTTTATTTTACCTATAAAATGTCCGAGGTTTTTTTCCCGATAAAATTAAAAGTCAGGGAAGAATTACGAAATTTTTTTCATTACTTATCAACCAAACATGACCGACATCTTCGCGGTAAAACCTCCCGCGCATTTAATCGACTTCAGAGAAAAAAAAAAGAAAAAAAACCACTATGCTGCGGCATCAAAACCTTAGTCACTTCCTACATAGGAGGTACTGAATCCCAGTTTTGTAAAAGTTGACTGTCAAATTCTAGGTATAACTCAAAGGCAGTTCGCCGAAAACAATCAACCGTATTTTACAAATAATTCAGTGGCGAGGCGTGAATGATCGATTAATGATATTTTTCCATTTGAAGCTGTGATAAAGAATTGATCATTGAGATGTTCGTTGCAAATACCCTGTTCATCGATCCTTTTCCATAGGTCTAAATGGCAGATCAATCGATATATGGCAAAACACGCCACGCCACTGAAAGTCCGATGCCCTTTCGATAGAAGGTGTAAGAAATATTCATAAGTATCAATAGAAAATTCTGCCCCAAGTAACAAACAATCTCCTTGTTTTTCTACTTCAGTAGGTTCATTATCGGGAATTTCAATTTTTGAAAATTTTACTAAATAATGGATGCTTATTAGGAACTGTATTGTATCTAGTGAGATTCTCTAGTTTTTGTAAAATGTGTATATTCCAGTTGTGAGTTATGAAAAAAGTGAGCTTGTCGTTAGCGAAACCTATACCATTTGAGCTGAAAGCTCCTAGAAAAGCGATTTTGAGTAACTAAGTTCGAACTTAGTGAATCTCTGGCAAATTGTAGCAGCTGTCATCATAGAGAGGGCTAGATGTTCATCCGTTTGAACATTCAACATTTTTTAGAGCCTCTCCCTCCTTCTGTCTTGAACTTTCTAACTATAGCTGATTTTATGTGTGCTCGGATGTAGGATAGTGCAAGTGCATGCTACTTACTGGATGTCTGTGCTTAGTTCCTTAAGCAGTTAGGTTCTCGTTGGTTTTACTTTTAGGTAAAAATTATATTATCATCAAGGATGTCAAATACACATCCATCTCATGTTAGGCTCGAAAATATCGGATTGATGTTTTTAATATGTAATGAGTAAAGTCTAGAAGGAAGTTCTTTGCAAGTAAAGTTTTGGCTAGGGTATGAGTTGGTTGTTGCTTATGATGAAAATTAAAGTTTAAAAAAAAAAAAAAAAAAAAAAAAAAAAAAAAAAAAAAAAAAAAAACATTCCTAACGACTTAATCCATCTTGTGTCTGTAAATTACAACCAAATCGTCCAATCAAATTCTGAAACATTGTATTGGACATTTGACGTTTTCGCAAGAGCCGATTCAATTGTTAAAAAAGAAGGACACCAACCCCCCTCCCTCATCAGTGCTACCCAACCGTCATGTGTTTTCGTGACCCTTCCTCAATTGTCATTCTACTTCGCTGCCCGATATCATCTCGTGCTTTTGAACGTTCTTGTATTACCGATGTAATGCGCTCCATATGCTGGACCGTGATAATCATGTAAATTCAAAACTGAGTTCTGAGAGGAGCTCTTAATATCGTCTGCATATTCGCTCGGCGGAACCGGTCACTCGGCCATTTAACCAAATGAGACGTGAAGAAATCCTTTTTTATTTCATTTGTTTTAGAAGTGCAGTTTGGGATGATCGATTCGATATTTTTCGCGCCTAAGTTAAGGAGAGGCGAACAGTTTCCCGTCGAGACCGAGTGTGCCAAGGAGTTGAATGTGGAAACGAAATGTTTCTCCCCCACTCCTCCTCCACTCCTCTCCCTCCCTTATTTCTTACGAGGCGTAGGATTTAATCGGTATTGCCCCCATTCTTTGCTCACTTGTTTCATCGCTAAATTTTTCCATTAGTATTCATGAGTCTCCGTGAAACTTCTTGAATTTGTTCAGCGGTACCTTTCCTTACTTTTTGTTGCTTTATTTTCATTCTCGGCGCATATCTCCAGTCAGTTTTGTTGATTATCTCATCGACGTAAAGCCCCCTTCCTTCATACTTCAGTTCGCTACATTAGCGTTCTTGTCGTCCGATACTTCCGGCTTTCGCGTCCTACAAAACGAGTCCATATGATTTTAGAAAGAAATTATTAGTCGTAGTAATAATACAAATTCAGCATATTATTTGCCAACTAGGAGCGACTTCCTCACTTAACTTGTATCGTTTATCCAAGGATTTCCCTCCATGGTCATTGAAATGGAGTTCTTGGATGTGTCAGGAATTTGCGATTCAAGTACTGACTCATATGTAAAATTTCGCGAAAAACACGATGGTCTCACTGATTTTCTTCGTAACAAACTCCAAAGCTCATGGAAAGCTCTCTAAGTTGAAGCCCTAACGGAGGGGATATCCCAAGCTATCCTGAAAGTCCACCTCTTTAATTCTACATCAAGACAAACTCCTTATGCAAAGATGGGGGAGCAAATACATCAACAGGGTTGCCACTTTGTTGGGGGGCTCTAAAACTGAAAACACGGCAACCCTGCTGAGTATTTGCTCTCTATCTTTACAAAGAGTTCGTCTGCATATCGAGGTGGACAGAGTCGGACTGGCGTAAAAAAAGTTAGGCAGCTACTAGGATTTTGGGGCCCCTGGCGTAAAAACTGGGCCCCTATGGGGGGTCTGGGGGGTCGCCCCCCAGAGATGGAGGGGGGTCCGGGGGTCCTCCCCCGTAAAATTTTGAAAATTTAACCCCTGAAAATAGAAGTTTTAGGCTCTTTTCGTATTGAAATTTGATAAATAGCGCCTCCGAAAATGTCACCTATTTTTTAGATATTTTTTGAAAAATTCGGCGATTCCTCTTGTTGATAAAGAAGCACATAACCTCCTCAAACTTTTACGCAGGGGCCTCTGCTGGTATCTTTTCAGAGGCCCCGCCCCTGAAGTTACCTTCTCCCGGCTGCAGGGCCAGTAGGGGCGCCTCAAAAAAGAAGTCATTTTAAAGTGAGTAACCTTCAAAGACCGGAAAAAAGAGCTTTCGAGACCCGGAAGGGCCCCTGAAAGTGAAACCCTTTTTTTCGAGCCCAGGGTCAGGGGCCCCTGCTGACATCTTTTCAAGGGCCCCAGAAGTGACCTTCTTCGGGCTATAGGGGTCTCAGGGAAAGAGTCATGCTGTTTAAAGTAAAAAACCCTTAGAGGCCGGGAAAATATAGCTTCGAGGGCCGCTCCAGGGCCCTTGAAGCTCATATTTTTCGATCGCTGAGGGGCTCTTGCTGACATCTTTTCAGGGGCCCCTGAGGTTACCTTTTTTCGGCCGTAGGGGCCTCAGAGAAGGTGTTATGAGTTAAACCCTCAAGGACTGCAAAAAACGAGGGTTTTTCAAGGATTCGTTTCATTTATTGAAGAATAAATTCAAGGATTTTTCACTTTTTCATGGATTCACTTCATTTATTGAAAAATAAATTCAGGAATTGTCGGCACGGGGCCCCTGAGCCGACAATTCTTAGGCAGCGATCGCTGCCTAGCTGCCTTAGCCAGTCCGGCCCTGGAGGTGGACTAAACCCAGCGTTGCCTTCTTCCAAGAATCGTTATTATATTAATCATTATCATATTTACCATAGGGAATTATTGAAAGAGAGGGGGACAAAAACGGGGGAGGGGGTGTTCATTAGTTCTTCTTTTCGATTTTGATGTTAGCCATGAAGTCTAGTCGCATTAACCGTGTTTTGCACACCAGTTGTCAATTTTGGAGCTATTTTCCCCCAGAAAACAGGGAATTTCTACCATACTTTCTCCTTCCCACCAAAATCAGGAGTGAAGTTTCGTGCTTTCTCTTTGATGCTTAGACATCGTTGAAATGTAGGTACGATCTTTAAAAAATTATGATTGTTAGCAAGTCCTCCATGATTGAGAATTACTCAGAAGAATCCCAAGAGAATACAAAAAAATTAGACACTACTAAAAGTTAGAAAATTATTTGATTACGGAGAGATGAAAAAAAAGAACCAAGATTCCAAATTCCTCGCAAAACAATTGACAGGAAAGCCACAGCGGGCTGATTGTTGAAATCGATAGACAACGCGATAGACAAAAAAGACATAGGGACTATGGAGCGATCCTATCGGTTAATAATTTGAGTGTGCTTACAGAGTAAGGGAGAAAAAGGTGGACTAACTATCGGATTTCTCTTGAGTCGCCACCAATTAGTCTATTACCTACCTCCTTCGTCAATTGTAACCACCTTTTCACCAATAGGATCCCTCCATATCCATTTTGTCGTATTTATCTATAGCTCTGTCTATCGATTTCAACAATCAGCCCGCTGGGCACCTATTACTCGGAGCAAACGATAATGGGAAGGAGATCATTCACGACCGAATAAACAATTACCGCCGCGGAAACGATCCGAAACGATTTTCGTTGGACCGAAATAGTTCAAACGAAACCCGACGATTAGGGAGGTAATTTTTGAGGGCGCCTAATTTCGGAGCCCCGGACCGGAACCGCCCGAGAAGAGAGGACCGGGGCCAATTCGTCGCCTCGCCGACGAAAGGACGCAACTAAACCGCGAGGTGAGCCCCGTCGCTGGTATGACACCACGTCTTCCAGGGCTCACGCAGAAATGGAGTCGGGCCCTCGCGAGGCCGACTGGGAGGGGCACCGTGTGATCTATGCATCAATTAAATTAGGACGTAATTGTGACGGGCTGCCGGGGGCTTTCATTACGCTGGTGTCGCGTCGCGGTGGGCCGTTGCAGGGCTGGCGCCGTTACGCGGTGCGGCGGGTGGCGTACACCCGCGAATGAAGGCGCGCGTTGGGGGCTCGGCAGTTGCGGGCGGCATAGATTAGCGAATGAAGGCGCGTGGCAGTTGACTCCTCCCGAGCGGTTGAGCGCTCGCGAATGCACGAGTAATTAAAACCTTTAATGTGAGGAAATGATTCTGCACTCGAGTCGACGAGATGGGTAAGCGGGTGGACGGCCTCTCGGTTGATTCGTTCGCGCGGTAATTATGTCGCCTTCGTTGACGGAGGGAGTCGAGTTTAGTAGGGGGCACCTCTCCGGCCGCTGTGCTGCTCAAACGCCGACGGGTGCTTTACGCCCGCTTCTTGGACATGGAGAGCCTGGGTCAGAATGGGTCAGTTGCGCTGGTCATAAAATCGTGTTCTGATACTTGGACGGCGTTAAACAGAAAGGAACCAAGCCACATCAGCTATTGCCAAATTTAACAGAGAAATGTTACTTTTTACGTGAGAACGTTCGTGCAGATTCCTTAGAAAATTTTAAGAAATTTGCTTTGTATTATGGAGGAAATTCACTGAAATTTGCACAAAATTCCGCATAACCGTTTTCATGTAAAAAATTAAATTGCCCGATCAAATTTGGCAATCGCTCATGTGGCTTGGTTCCTTTCTGTTTAACGCGGTCCACTTGATTCTTGTAGATTAGCTAAAAATAATAAGATCCGTCCAAACAGCAAATCCTTACGTTCAATATTAACCAAGATATCGCCCTTTGAAAAGTCGGGTTTTTGACGTCATCCACCGCGGTAATGACACTCTTGGTTCCTTCCACTTTGCTTTCATCCGGGTTTGTATGTTGAATAACCAGTGCTAATGTGCGTCACACCCACACCGGCTGATGAAAAGCTAAAAATTAGCTAAAAATAATAAGATCCGTCCAAACAGCAAATCCTTACGTTCAATATTAACCAAGATATCGCCCTTTGAAAAGTCGGGTTTTTGACGTCATCCACCGCGGTAATGACACTCTTGGTTCCTTCCAGTTTGATTTCATCCGGGTTTGTATGTTGAATAACCAGTGCTAATGTGCATCACACCGACTGATGAAAACAAGGTGGAAGAAACCAAGGGTGTTAGTACCGCGGTGGATGAGGTTAAAACCCCGACTTTTCGATGGGTGATATCTCGGTTAATATTGCACGTAGAAAGTTGCGGTTTGGACAGATTTTATTATTTTTAGCTGATCTACAAGAATCAAGTCTCAAAACACGATTCTATGACCAGCGCAACTGACCTATTTGAAAGTCTCTAGGCATTTTGTGGTATCGGGGAAAAGTCGAAACTATATCTTAAGAATCAAAGAAATCGAATATTTTTCCTGCTAGGTTTCTGCAGTGAACAAGCAGAAATTCCACATTGAAATGCGTTTTATTTTAGCAAAAAATCAGTGGAAAATGAGAAGACATAGCGATTTGATTGCCATAGTGTATCATTTCAATTAGTTTTCCGTCCTTGCGGCGCGTCAGAATCTACTTCGAGTCTGTGGCATTTACTAAAAGCGGGATTGTCCAGGATTTTAGCTCTAAAAATATGCAATACACCACCAATGTACTCACTTGGTGCTTCCAGAATATTAAATATAAAGCACAAGGTCTAGTGACCCATTGCTTTGTAAAATTTAGTAGACAAGATCGATCGTAAATCTTCTCTATCATATTCAAAATTTTCAGTACATCACATCATTTTTTCAACTTTAAGTGTTTTAGTTTACCGGCAAGTTAGTGGATTCCTTTTTACCTCTCTTGCTAAGTTCATACGCTCTTACATGTGCTCCTCTATGTTTGATTTGATAAGTGTCTTCGATGTCTTCATGTCTTCCGATGTAAATTTCGCTGTCTTAATGTTTGATGTCATAGTTCTATGTGTGCATTCGTAGTTTATCAATGGTTCGATGTTTCACTAGATTGCATTTTGACGTTTCTTAGTATTCAATGTGCTTACCCTTTTTTCATGAGGAGGCGACGCGCAATGATAACAAAAAGAACAAAGATGCCTCGAAAGAGCAATGTAAGTATATCGCCCAGAAAGAGCTGTTGAGTTAAGTGCTAGGTAAAAATCCAACTGAATAAAATCAATCATTTGACTTGTCTTGACTTTTTTAATCAAGAGCCGCAAGAATGGAAGTACCACGAGAAAGGTTTTTGTAAATCACAAAATCAACATGAAACGACGTTGACGTCAAAGTTTTACGCAGAATACGATAAACATACTACAATCATTGGCGGATCCAGCCGACCGGCAACCCTTTTTTTTCTCCATTTAAACCTATGGAAATATATCGATTCTTTGAGGGGCCAGGTGTTCCGACAAGAATCGATTAATTAACATAGGTTTAAACGGAGGGAATCCGGTGTTGTTAATTTGCTGGATCCGCCTACACAAATTTCAAAAATCAACTTATTGATGAGAAACTAGAGTTTACAGTTTACAATCAGAGACTGATTATTAGTCAATTTAATCTAACCTCGTCAAAAAGCAAAAGCAGTGTATATCAAACCAGTTATCGGAAATAAACTTTCACATTGAGTGAAACATTGGAGTCTCTATATAGAAACGCCCCCCTCCCCCTCAAAAAACCCCAACTTGTCAATTCTTTCCTCTAACCTTCGATAAGTAATACTAATAGGCGTGTGTCAAAAAAGAATCGCATATCGAAAAAATTGCCTCGTCATGAAGCAGACTGAGGTCAGTTGGAACCGGATATGCGATTTAAATTGATGGGTGGAGTGGGGGGCGGCCGATCAGAAAATTTGAATCGACCATATTAAAATTGAGCCGTAACGCTTATACTCACGCACTGCTTGAGTTGGGAGGTTTGCAAGTATGCCCATCGTACTCCACGAAAAAATTTGATGAGAAATATTGACTTTCGGATATTAAAAAAGAGTTCGGTTATATAAACCGAACTTTCGACGCTCAATTTGCCGTGCTAAGGAAAAATGCCGTACACTGGAAGAAAAACACATTGGATCTAGAGTCCAGACTCTTAAAAACATCGACAAGAAAAAGTACTCCTAATTCAATCAGAATTTAGCTTTAAACAAGAACCAAGCCTCTTACTTTAAGCGAATTTCGTTTTGATTCAAGCAAAAAGCCGATTGAATCAAGAGTATTTTTTCTTGTCAATGTTTTCAAGAGTCTGGACTCAAGATCCAATGTGTTTTTTTTCCAGTGTATGAACATTCGAGAGTTGCCAACTTTTTTCCAGTGAAATGTTTAATTTTGCGGAGAGTAATGAATATTTTCTCTTGAAATTCGCAGATAATGTAGATCTACTTACGAAAAAAATTCTCTGAAGTATTGTACACAATTTATTCTTCAGTTTTCCTAAAAATTCTTATTTAATGAAAAAACATTTGGTACACTGGGGAAAAAAAAACACATTCGATGTAGGGTCCAGACTCTTAAAAACATCGACAAGAAAAAGTACTCTTAATTCAATCAGAATCTAGCTTAAATCAAGAACCAAGCCTCTTTATTTACGCGGATTTTGTTTTGATTCAAGCAAAATTCCGATTGAATCAAGAGTATTTTTTCTTGTCAATGTTTTCAAGAGTCTGGACTCTAGATCCAATGTGTTTTTTTTTTTTTTTTTTTTTTTTTTTTTTTTCCAGTGTAACTGACAAAAGCTCGTACGGCGTTTTCCTAAGCACGGCAGCAATATCCACCGAACTTTCCTTGTAATGAGTTCTCGGGTGTATTTTACTGAGACCAATGATGAGCCAATGGAAAAAAGGTGTGAATTGCAGTTTTTGTCACGTGTTTTCTCCTTGAAATTCCATGTACTCATATAAGAATGGCTTACAATACCGTATACCTAACTAAGACGTATG